TCACCGGCGAGATGGAGACGGCGAGACTTGCCAACGGATTGGGAGAAGATCCATCAGCGCAGAAGCACTGGCGAGAGAGAAATTGGGGCGGGAATACGCGGCTACAGATCAGCCGCCGGCGAAAAGGCCGGCTAATCGCCGGGGAAGGCGCATGATGGACGCGAATTAATGAGCAGAGGCGAGGGTTTCTGAGAGAGAAAGGGGATCTGAAAGGCTTACTTACCACTGAAGAAAATTGAAAGTAGTAAAGTTAGTAGGAGATATTGTCTAATATACTCAAGTATGTAGTTTTATTTATATTAAAACTATCTAAATATTATAAAATTTCATTTTTAGAGAGAAAGAGAGACCAGTTCAACAGGCCGATTTTGACCTGGTGATCCAGGGACGGATTTAGACAGGGGCCCGAGCCCTTGTAGAATTCTTTTCAATCATATAATATATATATGTTATATGTATATGTGTTATTATTTTGACAAAATAAAAATTACATTTTATTAAATATAATGTAAAGTTATTTTCATATATATAAAAAACTAAATGTTTAAAATGATTTAACCTTCAATAGTATGTTATTTTTCAAGTTGTAGAATTTACACTTATGATGTACTCATTCTTGTTTATTTCATTTTCCATCACAAAATACACAAATGTATATACCATATAGAAATTGAATCAAATGCATTCCTATTCTTAAAACGGAATGTGAAACTCAACCTCAACTATTAAATAGGGAATAAAGTGTCTGGTCAATATTTAATCTTTTTATTTTTTTAATTGGTTAACCATTATTATTATTGATTTGACCGTTGATATCCGGTGTTGATTGTTGACCGTCGAGGTTGACTGTTGACAGTAGGTTGTGCCCCCGTATTGTCCTATAAGTTTGCGTCCGCCCCTGGGTGGATCGGCCGGTTGGGTTCGATTTTGAGATTGTGCTTTTTATACTACCCAGCAAAAAGGACACTAGTTTGTGAATCTTATATCAGGGAGATTTTCTTTGAAGCATTAAATCTCAAATTTGGACTAATTATACTCACTAGTAATCTCTTTTGTGCTGGTGAATATATAGGGTAAGGTTCAAGTGAGAACGGTGCTAAGTGAAAGAAATAAGAATATATCTTAGCCATTAAATTTAATCATCCAAAGGTTAAAAAGACAGAAATTCTATGGCACCACATGTGGCACCAATCATAATGTGCCACATCATGTTGTGGCACCATAATATGGTACCACATGTGGTGCCATAGAATTTCTGTTAAAAAGATGCTAAAACATTTACATTGATTAGGGATAAATTAGAGATTACATCCATCACATAAGATAAATTAGCCGGATTGCTATTTGTCGCCCCAAATTACTACTTGTAGCCCGAAAATAATAATAAAAAATGATAAATTTACAAAAATATCCTTGTGGTAAGAAAAAATGTTACTGAAAAAAAAAACCTTCAAACGTCTATTAGCTATGCTTGGACGCCGCAGAAACGTCTCAAAGCTAGGCTTAACAGCAAAGGACACGTCCGAAAAGGAAGCCCGACTGTGAAAGCACACGTCCAATGGTTAAGC